TTAAACAAATTTTTTTTTTTTAATTTTTTAAATTTTTGTTTATTGTTGTTGTTGGCCGTAAGGCACCTTTCGTGTATGAAAAGCTTGCCCAGACTGGCCGTTTTTTTTTCTCCAGGCGTATGTACCGTACCTTATAACACTCCTTCCTCTGTTTTTAAAAATCCCGTAATTTATTTGAAAACTGGTGAAAAACCTACCAAACCGTTAAAAAATACGGAATTTTATAGTGTGTAAGGTGTGTTTACACATTGTCTACGTGATTCAAAGCAAATTTTGTGTATAGGAAGCGTTGATTTCAACGCAGTTCGAGAGAAATCAATACCAACACTTTCTTTCGTCTGCTCTTGCACAAGGAGTCTCATAGTCATAAGTCACACAAGTCATACTTTTAATTTTTTTTTCTGCTATTCTTACTCTGTACCGAAAATTATGGTAATATAATGGGTGTGACAACTTTTGCAATTCAGTATATGAATATATATTGTGTGTGTACATTAAAAAAATTTTTTTTGGTTGTTCAATGTGCAATTTTTATCTTTGTTTTCGCTTTGTCCTTGTGGTAAATTTTATCGGACTGGCAATTTATCGGCACCTTCTATTCTTTCACTTTTCTGTGCCAATACTGTTGTTACAATATTTTGCAAATATTATACTTCCTCCCGAAAATTGGTCACACCATACCATGCTCTCCATAAAGAACTCTCTTCGTCACCACCATTTTACGAGCACGTCTGCTGTACCCCGTCCTTCATGTGCTCTTCCGATTGTGTTATTTCTGCATAATTATGAATATTGTCCATGTACACACTTTGTATGTGTGTGTGGGGTGCTTTCGCTTTGAAAGATCCGGCTGATATCCGTCACGTAAACCGCTTCTTTTGAAATGTCTCTTTACTCGCGTCGCTCTGGTGACTTTGTTAACAGCAGAGTACTCTATACCGGTTTCAGTTTAAGGGATGGCACAGGCAAGTGTTGTTTTTTAAAAACTTTCCACATACATTTCTGTAAAAAAAATTAAATCCTTTTTCTACAAGGCCATCATGCGAATGTGCTTTATAGACCTGATCATGCATACACGCACACACGCACTCTCGAGCACACACGAACACAAACATAGTATTAGTATACACTCACACTTTCTCTCTTTATTTCTATCTATCTCTCTTTCTCTCTTTCTCTCTCTCTCTCTCTCTCTCTCTCTCTCTCTCTCTCTCTG